TTCTCATTGCTCTTAAATGAGCAAAACCAAATTGTTTTTTTTATTTAATGAAATATTAAATCTTTATTTCCCCCAACATAATTTGTAATCAGGTAGAGCAGAGGTAAGTCCCACCATCACTGGGGACAGCAGCAACATACAGACTTCAGAAACAGACTTGATTCATCAGTAACATCCTCCCCTGGTACCATTAGAAGGAATGCATCTAATAACAAATTTGCAATGTTGTCACGTTGTTCTAATTTATTTGATTAGTTTATCTGGAAAAACTTTATGCATTATTTAAGACAACAGTAAATTATTTTCTTGCTCTGAAAAAATAATGTTTTTCACATTTTAAAACCTCTTAGTATCCTTTTGCAAAAGGAGTTGCAAGAAATGTGACAGCTGGGTTTGCAGAATGTCCATGTACAAGTTTGTATTTATAAGAACCTGGTAATCTGCCTATAATTTGCTTCTACAAATAGAGCTCTTTACAATAATATTTTTTTAAAAACAGGCTTAAACTTTCCCCTATTCATTCTACTTGTAGCAAAGCGGTACTTACTTTTCAAGTATTACATGGTAAAAGGCAAGTTTTTTTTTTTTTTTTTTTTTTGCCAATTTTAAGCTGTTAAGCTTTAAGACCAAACTATTTATGTGAAAAAAAAAAAATGATGCCTAGTCAATCCTAGTTGTTGCGGGAAGTCAGGGACCCTGAACGGAAGGATCGGCTGAAGCCATGGCAGAAGAACATAAATTGTGAAGATTTCATGGACATTTATTAGTTCCCCAAATTAATACTTTTATAATTTCTTATGCCCGTCTTTACTGCAATCTCTGAACATAAATTGTGAAGATTTCACAGACACATCACTTCCCCAGTCAATACCCTTGTGATTTCCTATGCTTGTCTTTAATCTCTTAATCCGGTCATCTTCGTAAACTGAGGAGGATGTATGTCACCTCCTCAGGACCCTGTGATGATTGCGTTAACTGCACAAATTGTTTGTAGAGCATGTGTGTTTGAACAATATGAAATCTGGGCACCTTGAAAAGAGAACAGGATAACAGCAATGTTCAGGAAACAAGGGAGATGGCCTTGGACTCTGACTGCCAGTGAGCTGGATGGAACAGAGTCATATTTCTCGTCTTTCAAAAGCATATAGGAGAAATATCGTTGAATTCTTTTTCTCAGCAAGGAACATCCCTGAGAAAGAGAATGCATGCACCCATGAGGGGAGGTCTATGAACGGCCCCCTTGGAGGTGGCCATCTTTTACGGATAAAGCGAAGGGATGAAATAAGCCCGTCTTCTGTAGCGCTCCCAGGCTTATTAGGACTAGGAAGTTCCCACCTAATAAATTTTGGTCAGACAGGTTGTCTGCTCTCAAACCCTGTCTCCTGATTAAGATGTTATCAATGACAATGCGTGCCCAAAACTTCATTAGCAATTTTAATTTCACCCCATCCTGTGGTCTTGTGATCTCACCCTGCCTCCATCTGCTTTGTGATATTTTATTACCTTGTGAAGTATGTGATCTCTGTGACCCACACCCTATTCGCACACTCCCTCCCCTTTTGAAAATCACTAATAAAAGCTTGCTGGTTTTACAGCTCAGGGAGCATCATGGAACCTGCTGATATGTGATGTCTCCCCCGGACACCCAGCTTTAAAATTTCTCTTTTGTACTCTTTCCTTTTATTTCTCAGACCAGTCAAGACTCTTAGGGAAATAGAAAAGAACCCACGTTAAATATTGGGGGTGGGGTTTTCCCTGATACCTAGTCAGTCATTTTATAGCCAAATGCTCTTGTCTTTTAAAGAATGCAGAAAAATACTAATTTGCTAACAAGGAGCACATTGGAAAAAGCCATTTTAAAGTACTGAAGAATGAGGAGTATTTTTTTTTCTACTGATGAAAATTATTAGAAAAGCTATCCTGTCTGTTGTCTTTAGCTAGTTTTAATAAATCTGCTCAAAATAATGGTCAAGAAATCTTTAGAAAATTGGAAAAGGGGATGCTTTTTTACAGCATGAAAGGAATTCCATTAATTGTAGAAATTCTCATTAAATTTTGACTTTGGTTCTTCATAAAAAATACTGATTTAACTTCTGCAGTCTGTGTGTTTGAACACCATCTACCTGAGACAGGAACCCAAGCATCCCTTCATCGTCAAAGGCCAAAATTGGATTCAAAGGAATTTCTGGGCTCTTACTGTTGGTGACATCTAATCTGGATGGTTTCGAACCAATGGGTAAATTTATAATTTCTTCAAAATTTTCATTCTGAACAGATACTCCACTTTCATTTGGTTTTCCAAATTGGGGGTGCTCTCCACAGTCACTTTTGATTGGTGTGAGGTAACCACATATGGGCTGGCAACTGGTTCTCCATTTCCCAGAGCATTTGTCGTACACAGAAGTGTAGATAGGTCTGTTCTTCCAGTGAGAGCTCCCTTGGCTATATCACCATTTCTCTGATCAATGGTTTTCTTATCTGTAGCTTCTGTTCTCCCGCTTCAGGGCTGTTCCTTATAGCAACCCTTATATCGTTCACCAAAGCACAATGCAGTCACATCATCTGGGGACTTGGATCCAGGTGGGAATAGGAAGGTAAAAGACCACAGCTCTCAGGTGGTCTGCCTTAACCCAAAGGTAGATTTCAGTTTACATATTAACTTCAAATGCACTAGTAAGTTTACTTATTATGTTTACTGCCTCCCCTTGCTGGAATGCAAGATCCATGAAGGCAGGGATTCTTTTCTGCTTTATCATCATGTGACTCAAATTCCTAGCACAGTGCCTGGCACATACTAGCAGTTCAATTTTTTTTTTTTTTTTTTGAGACAGAGTCTAGCTCTGTCGCCCAGGCTAGACTGCAGTGGCGCTATCTTGGCAACCTCCGTCTCCTGGATTCAATCAATTCTCCTGCCTCAGCCTCCCAAGTAGCTGGGACTACAGGTACGCGCTACCACGCCCAGCTAATTTTTGTATTTTTAGTAGAGACGAGGTTTCACCATGCTGGCCAGGATAGTCTCAATCTCTTGACCTTGTGATCCGTCCACCTCAGCCTCACCAAGTGCTGGGATTACAGGCGTGAGCCACTGCACCTGGCCAATATTTAATGAATCAATCAGATTAACAAAAATTAAAAGTTAACAATATCGGCCGGGCACGGTGGCTCACGCCTGTAATCCCAGCACTTTGGGAAGCCGAGGTGGGCGGATCACGAGGTCAGGAGATTGAGATCATCCAGGCTAACATGGTGAAACCCCACCTCAAAAATACAAAAAAAATTAGCCAGGCGTGGTGGTGGGCACCTGTAGTCCTAGCTACTCGGGATGCTGAGGCAGGAGAATGGCACGAATCCAGGACGCAGAGTTTGCAGTGAGCCAAGATCACACCACTGCACTCCAGCCTGGGCGACAGAGTGAGGACTCCATCTCAAAAAAAAAAAAATTGACAATATCAAGTGTTAGGAAAAAAATGAGGAATGAGAATCCTCTTCCACTGCTAGTGGGAGTGCAAATGTATACAATTCCTTTGAAAGCAATTTGGCAGGCCAGGCGCCGTGGCTCACACCTGTAATCCCAGCACTTTGGGAGGCCGAGGTGAGCAGCTCACTTGAGGTCAGGAGTTCCAGACCAGCCTGGCCAACATGGTGAAACCTTGTCTCTACTAAAAATACAAAAATTAGCCAGGCGTGGTGGCACATGCCTGTAATCCCAGCTACTTGGGAGGCCGAGGCAGAAGAATTGCTTCAACCTGGGAGGCAGAGGTTGCAGTGAGCCAAGACTGCGCCACTGCACTCTGGCCTGGGTCACAGAGTGAGGCTCCATCTCAAAAAAAAAAAAAGCAATGTGGCAATGTCTAGTAAAATTGAGAATGTACCCAGTAATTTTTCTAGTTAAATACCCTATAGAAATTCTAAGGCAAGTGCCAAAGGAGACACCTAAAAGCTTTACACTACAGCAATGTTTGTAATAGCAAAAAATACTATAATTTAAATGTGCATCCCTGTAAGAATGAATAAATATACTAAAATGGATGCATAAAATAGACTACTATAAAAATTAATGAGAATAAACTAGATTCTTATATTAGCATGAACAGTTCTTAAAAAAACAATGTAAGCAAAATGCAAAATGCAGGAATTTTATTAATGTAAAAATTTAAAATACTATTGTATATTGTTCAAGGATCTCTATTAACATATTTGAATGTAAAAGTATAAAAAAAAGTAGTTGTCCATGGAAAGGTAAAAGGAGGTAAGACAGGAAATGGACAAAACAGACAGATAAATAAACAAAACAAAGAGGGAAAAAGAGACCAGCAAGCTTTTCCCTGACATTAAATACTAAAATAAAATACTCATGTCTGTATGTGGCTCAATATTGGCAGTGTAAAGTTTAAAGCTTTTTATTCTCAAATTGATTGTAATCGTTGAGAGAACAAAGGAACACAATGGCTTGGGCCTCTACCTGGCATGAGTAGCTACTTTCTGCACCAAATCCAGAGCATCTGTACTGGGGGTGTCTGACACTTGCGTGCTCTCTCTCATTCTGACTCCTTCTTTCCCCTTACATACCACTTTTTTTTCCTTTCTTCCTTCCCTTGGGTCTCTACCACAAAAGCTCCGCACCAGGCTGGGGTTCTGACACTAACTTGGCATGTGATTCTGGCCTGCCACCTCACCATTCTGAACCTCAGTGTTTTCCCCTCTAAATCTGGGAGAACACCCATCCTGCCTGGAGGCAAGTAGGGCTCGCTGTCAGTTCTTTCTGCTATTTCTCTACTCCAGCATCATCTCCAGCATACAGGCATACAGAGCCTCCGCCTTAATCTCACCTCTGCTCTTTGTCTCTGCTTCAGCTCCTGCTGGGCTGATTTCTGTTTGGCCTTCTCAACTCTGCTGACAGGTTCTTTAACTTTGGTTTTTTCTTTACGTGCAGGTGGATCCATGGCTTGACTTCTGGGTATTTCTTAGGAGGCTCTGATCTGGGTGGTACAGAAAAAGGCAGACCTTAAAAAAAAAAAAAAAAAAAGACCTGCCAGTCATTCCTCTAACTAATCCTTTAGCTCCGCCCCATCCTTTGCCAGGTGAGGCAGAGGGGTCTGGTGGCAAGGACGCTGGATGTGGCGGAGTAGGAACCCAGTCCCAACGCCACAACCTCGCTGGGTATCCCTGGGCAAGTCTCCTCCCCACTCTGAGCCTTAGTTTTCTGTCTGCAAAATGGGTTAATAGTGTCTTCCTGGCCTCCCTCCAGGAGCTGCTGTGTGCGGGTGGAATGCGAAGACCCCTGTGAAAGCTTTGTCCACTCTGCGGCGTGCGGCACCCAGCGCGGAACCGTCCTAATGGGATGCTGAGGTCCAGGGGACGCCCACGGTTTTCCCACCGCGGCCGGCCTAACTGTGCCGCAGCAGCTGCTCCTGGGGCCTGGGGGCCGGGCCCCACAGCCGCCCGGGCCCGCCCTCCGCCGCCCGGCCCCCGACTCCGCCCCGGCCCGCCCGGCCCCAGGGGACGGCCCCCGCCTCCCGCCCTCTTCCCTCTTCTGGAGGAAAATGGCGGCCGCTGGAGCCGCCGACAGAGGGGCTTGGGAGTCGGTACCTTTCCCGACTGGCCCGCTGGAAGTTGGAGCCTCCGCCGAGTCGCAGACAACGCCTCTCGGGGGTAATCCTCGCCTTCTCTCCACCACTGGACCCAGCACTGCACGCCCGCCGCCCCTCGTCCTGGGCGGGGCCGCGCGCCGGGGGGAGGGGCGGAGGGCCGAGTGCCAGGCTGCTTCCGCCCACAGGAACGGCTGCGCGTGCGCGGAGAGGATAGCTGGAAAATCACGTAGAGGGAGGGGCGGGGCAGGGGAGGGGCGGGGCAGGGGAGGGGCGGGGCAGGGGCGGAGCCAGGGCGGGGTGGGTGGGTGGTGGTTACCGCTAACAAAAGCTTTTTCACCGTTATATTTTATGAAACAGCTGCTAGGTTTTAGAGGGTGAGATCTGAATCCTGGAATTGGAATTGCTCAGAATTCGAATTCCGAGCCTCAATTTCTTAATTCGAAAAGTGGGGATTGGTGATTGCCACCTTCTTCATTCATGAGTTTATCGGGATGATCAAATGAAATCCCATTTGCCGCAGTGCTTTGAAAAAGGAAATCTTGACAGAAGTACCAATAGCCAGTATAAATACAGAGAATATTCACGTTCAACTGATTACGGAGGAGATGTAAATTAAAATAGCTGACTGTCATTTTCAATGTATCACATTAGCAAGGATTGACAAAAATGACAATAGCTACCTTACATTTGGGCATACTATGTTCCAGGCACTGTTCTTACAGCTTCACATTTATTAACTAATTCCTCATAATAAATGTCTAGAATGTATATGTGTATATTATTATCTCCATTTACACATAAGGGAACAGAAGCACTGAAAAGTTTAGTGAGTTGTCCCGGGTCACACAGCTCCTAAGTGCTGGAGCAAGTATTTCAGCCAGGATTCATAGGACAATGGCCTTATCCAAAGTAAAACCATGTTTGGGTCCACTATTTGTTCCTCTATCAAAATGGCAAGAATTGAAACAATTGATAGATGCTAAGCAAGCAATGAACTCAGCCCAGATGGCCACACACTTCCAGTCAAACTGTAAATCGTTGACAGCCTTTCTGGAGGTCAATTTAGTACTAGGTATCAAAAGCCTTAAAACACAACCCCCCAAAAAGACAAATCCTGCATGTTTTCATTCATATGAAGTATCTAAAGCAGTCAAAGTCTAAGAAACAGAAATAATGGTGACTGCCAGTGGCTAGGAGAGAGGGAAAAGAGGAATTGTTAAAGGACGTAGAATTTTAGGTTTGTAAGGTGAAAAAGTTCTAGAGATCTGCTGCAAAATGTTTTTTATTTATTTAATATTTAAAAAATAGATGGGGTCTTGCTCTGTCACTCAGGCTGGAGTGCAGTGGTGTGATCATGAGTCACTGTAACCTGGGCTCAAGCAATTCTCCCACCTCAGCCTCCAAAGTATCTGGGACTACAGGCACACACCATCATGCCTGGCTAATGTTTTTAATTTTTTTGTAGAGACGGGGTCTCACTATGTTTCCCAGGGTGATCTGGAAATCCTGAGCTCAAGTGATACTCCTGCCTCAGCCTCCCAGAGTGCTGGGATTACAGATGTGAGCAATCGCGCCCAGCTTTCCCAGAATTTCTACAGTAAACGTTCATACTTTAGCAATCAGAGGAAAGTATAATAAATGTCTTTTTAAAAACCCTATACAAATGCTGATTCGATTATTATTAATAAAAGTAACCAAGCCACAGTCTATTTCAGAAATCTTGATGTAGTACTGGTATTTCACATTTGTGTCACATGGTATAGTTTATAACGTTCATATAAGCTATGAACTAGATTACAGCTGGAGACAGGGCAGGACCTTTAGAAGCCTTTAAAAAGCCAGCTAAAAACAGACCAGCTATAGGGAATGGAGGAGTGGAAAAGCCACATGGAAGACTGGAAAAGTAGTGGTGCCATTGAGGCACTGCTGAAAGTGGCAAAGTTGATAAGTTGGTTTGGGAAAGGGTGAGAAAGAGGATAAGTTAGGAGTGTGTGTGTGTGTGTGTGTGTGTGTGTGTGTGTGTGCATTCGTGCGCACAAAGAGGGACCTAGAGAGAGAAAGAGATAGATTATGCTTCAATTGGCAATAGGCAAGAATTGTCCACTGAGCAATTACAAGACTCCAGAAAAGCACAGAACTGGAGATACTAGTTTGGGATTCATTCTTTATCGGGAAGGTGAAGGTTGGAGCCAGGAGGGAGTGAAAGTTGAGGCTGAACTGCCAAGACCAGCTCAGTCGGGGAGACCCTAACCCAGTGGCACTAGAGGAATTAAAGACACACACACAGAAATACAGAGGTGTGACGTGGGAAATTAGGGGTCTCACAGCCTTCAGAGCTGGCAGCCTCAAACAGAGATTTACCCACATATTTATTAACAGCAAACCAGTCATTAGCATTGTTTCTATAGATATTAAATTAACTAAAAGTATCCCTTATGGGAAACGGAGGGATGGGCTGAATTAAAGGAATAGGTTGAGCTAGTTAACTGCAGCAGAAACGTGCCCTTAAGGCACATATCGCTCATGCTATTGTTTGTGGCTTAAGAATGCCTTTAAGGGGCTTTCCGCCCTGGGCTGGCCAGGTGTTCCTTGCCGTCATTCCCGTAAACCCACAACCTTCCAGCGTGGGCATTAGGGCCATTATGAACATGTTACATTGCTGCAGAGATTTTGTTTATGGCCAGTTTTGGGGCCAGTTTATGGCCAGATTTTTGCGGGCCTGTTCCCAACATGTCTCCCTTCTTTGATTTGCAAAGGGATAAAAGCAAGGGCAACTTTGTCACAGTGACAAAGTCCTACTTCTCGCAGGAGTCGGGATCCGCATCTGCAGACTGTACAAAGACAACATAAATTAAAAACACAATCATCACTGAAATCACAGAGCTTCCAAGTATTTTTATCCATTTTCAACTCCTTTAAGCACTCCAGTTCCTGGAATTAAGGTCAGGTGTGCCTGGGATGCTTTAAATATTTGTTCTTTTCATTTTGAATCCTTATGTTAAGCTCCTAGAGCGAGCCATGTCATTTGAGGTTGAGGTGCCACTATATCGCCATGGTTCCAGATAATAGGAACATTTGCCATACTTCTTATCATTTCTACCATCTGACCGTTTTGTTCAGATCATCTGAACATAGTATGACTGTGGCACGCAGACTGAGAGGTGCAATTCAAGCTAAACATCCCCTTAGGGGACCAATTAATAATGATTCCATAGGAATCGTTGTGCAGCACCTCTGCCTGTGCTGTAAAGCAATCTTCCTAGACAAGTACGTTCATTTTTTCAAACTGGGTCCAATCCTGTTTACAAATAGGTTTTTGAGGGTGGTATGCCTCAATTATAGGAGCAGATTTATTATGGTAAATCCTGAGATCAGAAAGCATGTGTAACTGTGTCATAGTGATTGTATCCAGGCATTATTGCCAGCCATTATTGAAGGAATACTCATAGCAGTGGTGATAACTGCTATCATAGCTACCATTAAATTATTCATTGTGACTGGTTGTCCTGCTTTCCTCAGGTTTTCTTCCACCATCTGTGACAGCTTCTTGATCTGTCCCCAGGTGGGTGGCTGTGTTCGACGGGTGTTGCTCGTGACAGTTGGGTTCCTCCTCAGCTCCAGTCTCAACGTGGCTGCAACCGGGGGGTACTCGGGATCCTCCCGGAGTCTCTTCCTCAGCATCTGGCTCATAATAAGGTTTCAGGTGTCTTTATGGTATCCAAATCGGCTGTTGATTTTGGCCTGGAGAAATACAAGCATAACCTCTACCCTAAGTTATTATTTTACCTATTTCCTAACTTTTTATTATTGGATCTCTCCACCAAATCAGTTGTTCTGTTTCTGTCTTTGCAGCTGCTTTCTGTAGATGCTGTTCAGCTGCTGATAACATCTGGCCTTTGGGCGGGCTCAAAAAATTTAAAGTTAATAATGCTAGGTTCAGTTACATCTGTGGGTTTCCATATTCTCTGTCTCTCCCTTTCTGCTTTTGCAACTGCTGTTTTAGGGAGAGATTCATTCTTTCCACTATGGCTTGTCCTTGAGAATTGTATGGGACACCAGTAATGTGTTTAATATTCCACATAGAGAAAAATGTAGCTAGAGCTTGGCTAGTATAGCCTGGGGCATTATCTGTTTTAATAGAAGCTGGAATGCCCATCACCGCAAAACACTGCAAAGGATGATGTTTAACACAGGCAGAAGACTCTCCTGTTTGGCATGTAGCCCAGACAAAGTGAGAAAAGGTGTCCACACATACATGTACATAAGCTAGTCTCCTAAACGAGGGAACATACGTGACATCCATTTGCCAAATAGAGTTAGGTTCCAGTCCTTGAGGATTAACTCCTCCTGTAAAAGATGAGGAATGTACAATTTGTCAAGTTGGGCATCTCTGGATAATAGCTTTAGCTTCTTTCCAGGTAATGCTGTAATGCTGTATCTGCGTTTGAGAGCAGAGGCAATAACATGGGTTAAATTGTGAAAGTGTCTAGCATTAGATATTGCATTAGCAACTAGGTAATCAGCCATTTGATTCCCTTCAGTCAAAGGTCCTGGAAGAGGTGTATGAGCTCTAATGTGAGTAATGTAAAAAGGACGCATTCTACTCCTAACTGCTGTTGGCAATTGGGTAAATAAAGTCATCAATTGTTTGTATGAAATCGTAACTGAGCATTTTCAATTAACTGTGTGAATTACACAATTAACTGTGTAATTAACCATGTATGAAGAATCAGAAATCACATTAATAGGCATATCAAAAGCAGTCAATACCTCAATTACAGCTACAAGCTCCGCTTTTTGAGCTGAATGTAGGACGTCTGGAAAACTTTACTTTTCGAGCCAGAATAAGTTTTACCATTACTAGATCCATCTGTAAAACAATGAAAATGCTTAGTGGGTTGCAGGTTTTTTACTGCGGGAATTGTAAATGCAAACCGTTCACAGTCTTGCTCAGCTAAAGAAAGAGTTTTTAAAATTTATTTAGGCCAATTTAACTATTAAAGGCCAATTTAACTATTAAAGGCCAATGTTTTGGAATTACTGCAGTAGAAGGCAATCCTG